TCCCTCCCTCCCTCCCTCTCTCTCTCTCTCTCTCTCTCTCTCCTCTCTCTCTCTCTCTCTCTCTCTCTCTCTCTCTCTCTCTCTCTCTCTCTCTCTCTCTCTCTCTCTCTCTCTCTCTCTCTCTCTCTCTCTCTCTCTCTCTCTCTCTCTCTCTCTCTCTCTCTCTCTCTCTCTCTCTCTCTCTCTCTCTCTCTCCTCCCTCCCTCTCTCTTTCCCTCCCCCCTCCCTCTCCACTCCCATTCCCACTTTCTCCTTCTCCCTCCCTCTCTCACTCCCTTCTCCCTCTTCCCTCTCTCTCTCTGTCTCTCACACACACACACGAATAAAAAAAACTGTTTACCCCCGTGTGAAATGTTTTGCTGGTTACATTGTCTTTGATTTCATTTATTTATATATTTAAATTTGTTATTTTTACTCTTGATTTTATACTTATACCTCGGCCTCCTATCCCCCTCTCCTCTCTCCCCTTCATTTCCACACACTCATTTTATCTCCCTTTCCAAAAATACAATCCTTCTGATAATAAAATCCTTACAACCCGAAAGAGATGAACAGCGATCTCTGTCTCTCTCTCGCTCTTAGCGGCCTCTCTCTCTCTCTCTTTTAGCGACCTCTCTCTCCTAAACCGTATTTTCTTTCTCCCGCAGGTGGCAAGAAAGTGACGTTCCTGGTGGGCATGGATGGCGAGCCCGTGGTGGTGGTCCTGGGCGACGGGCGTGAGGAGGTCGACACCATCCTGGAAGAGAGGGCGAGGCGACAGGCCGAGCTGGAGGCCGACCTGCTCAAGTAAGTAGCCTCAGAGCTGAAGTTCGAGGGCTGGCGAGACGGCGAGCAAGGCCTATAGAAGTACTTACATAGACTTTGATTGCGAGGCGCCGTTTCCTTTTCTTTTTCTTCTCGTTTTCTGCGATTTGGGTGTGTGGCTCTTGCGCGATTTTTTTTTTTTTTTGGTGGGGGGATTGAGGGGTTTGGGGTATGGGGGGGGGGTGAGTGGCTTGGCTTGTTGTTTCGTTTTTATTCGTTTATTCATTTATTGTTATTGACTCTTTGGGTCTTCGAGATTCCCACTGCGGCGTCCGGCCCGCGAGGCCCTCCAGCTGCCCTGGGGTCGGAGATGTAATCGGCGTTGTCCCTATTTAGGCTTTTCTTAAGCGGCTTCCCGAGATAAGGGCGGGCGCCCTGCCAGGTCACTCACCCTGTCCAGACGGCAGGGGTTGGGGGAGGAAAGGGGAGAGAGGAGGGGGAAAGGGGTAACAGGGAGAAGAGGAGGGAAGAAGGCGAGAGAGGGCGAGAGGCGAGAAAGATAAAGGGAGAAGAGGTGGAAGGAGGTGAAGAAGAAGTGGAGAGAAGCGTGTTAGAGGAGAGAGAGGTAGGTAAAGTTAGGAGATGTGTGGTAGGGGGGGGGGGGGAGTTGGAGGGGCAGGCGGGCATGTTGATTGCTCTTTCGGCCACTTTGTTGGTATTGCCATCAGGGGGATCGCGTTTTTCCCCGCGTGCCTCGTGTCTGCGGCGTCCTCCGCTCTCGGCCCTTCGTCTTTCGTGTCTTTCGCTTCTCTTCGCTTCTCTGCTTGCTTTTGCGTTGCTCTTTGTCCTTGCGTTCATTGCTTCTTTGTTTTCAATAATATCCGAACGCATTCATTGCTTGAATATTCGTAGCCGTGCGTAAAATTCCAAAAGAAATCAGAGAAAAATAATAGCAGCAGCAATAATAACAATGCAGGGATAGAGCAACATGAAACGGGTGGACGAGCAGACCCCTTTTATTTTTCCTCCAAATCGGAAACTAGCCGACTTGCCTCTCATTACCAAGACATGTATGGCTCATATTTACAAAGGTCTCGCGTCTCGTCGGCGGCGGAGGGAAGCGAAGTCGCCCGCACGCCCGAGGGCCGTCACGTCGCCCCGGGAGCTCAGGAGGACGAGAATGCAGAGGGAGATGGGCACGGAGATGGGGGGGTGGTGTGAGAGGGGGGAGAGGGAGGAGGATAGGAGAGTGAGAGGTGGAGGGAGGAGGGAGGAATGGGAGGGAGGGAGGGATCCATGAGGAAATAGGGAAATTGGGAAAGGTGGAGGCGCAAGACGGGAGAAGGGTGGGGGAGCAGGTGAAGCAGTGAGGGCGGGCCTGCCAAAGGCATTCGAACCCGAGCGACCCCGTTGCGGCGACAGCGACCGTCGGCGGCAATTGGGTGTGCGCCGAATGCCGTCGAGAGGCAGATGCGATTGGCGCAGGTAAGGGAAACGCCAAAAGTGAGAGAAAAGGGGAAAATGATGATTGATTATTGTATTCAAGGAAAATTGGTTCATGCGTCCATCGGGGTCAGAAGGGGAGGGAGAGGGAGGGAAGATAAAAATGAAGGGATAGACAAAGAGAAACTAACAGGTGATAGTAACGCGGAGAAGGAATGGGAAAAGCGGGGAGGATACAGACAAAAGAGGATGAGAGAAGAGGAGAAGTAGGAATGGATAGAAAGAGAAAAAGAAATGTGGGGAAAGATGAGAGTTAGAGGAAAAGGGTTCGCGAGCTTATCTCGGGGCCAGGAAGTTATCTGGGCTTTGTTTTTTGGCGCTCGATGGACCCGAGATAAGGGAGGCTGTCGGTCTTGGGAAGCGGGCTGGGGGGGGGGGGTCGGAGGACGACCGAGGCCGGGGAAGTCCTGGGCATCCTCGCATCCTGACGCTCCTAAGGGAAGCCATGAAAGGCGGAACGAAGGGCAGAGAAGAGCGAGGGGCGAAGAGGATACGGGGAGACTAAAAGAGACCGTTGGAGTGGAGGTGAAAAAAGGGAGGTGGGATAAGCATTGAAAATTATTTAAAACGAAGAAAAAATAACAAAGAAGAAATAAAAATACCCATGCATGTCGACGGCTAAAATGGAGGCGAAGAACAGGAAGAGAATAATAAAAAGAGACAGAGGGGAATACATGAGGGCAAGAGGGAGAGGGAGAGGGTGGGAGTAAGTGTGGGAGAGGGAGAGAGGTGGGAGAAGGAGAGGATGGGAGTGAGTGTCGGAGAAGAGAAAGAGAGGGTGGAGTTGGGGAGGGGGTGGGAGTGAGCTGCTCCCTTATGACCATCTTGTCTTATCACGCCCTTATACGGCACCGCGCCTGCCTCGGCCTCTTCGCCGGGGACAAAAGGAGGCGCAGGAGGAGGGACGAGGCTTTTGATTGACAGGTGGAACGTCTGGTTCAAATAATGGCGGCTTGAGGAAGAGCAGAAACGAAATATTGTGTAGTGTAAAGGGGGCAGGGGAGAGCAAGAGAGAGAGAGAGAGAGAGATGGATTAAGAAGGGGGGAAGGTGGTGGGAGAAGGGTAAAGAAGATGGAGAGGAAGAGGGGCAAAGGAGAGAGAAGACAGGGAAGGGAGAGAGGAAGAAAAAAAAGGGAAGAAAGGAGGAGAGGAAAATAATGGGAGAGAAAGAGAAGGATCTCGGGGACAGGGAAAGTGAGACGCGAACAAAGAAACCGCTGTTTACCCGTTTTGTTTACGCTGCGTCGCGGCGGAGGAGGAATCTGTTAAAAGCGACGACTCCCAGGGTGTGAGGAGAAAGAGGAGGGGGAGAGGGGGAGCGGGAGGGGGAGGGGGGAGGGAGGGGGCAAGGCCTATGCTGAGATCCTACCCAGGAGGCCTAAATCATATAGAGGAGGAGGTGGTGGAATCCGAGAGTGCTCGAGTGTCAGTGTGTGTGCGTCTTTGTGCGTCTTGAAGTGTGAGTGGAGTATTTGCGGGCTGCGGTTCGAGAGTTTGCTGGAGGGGGGCGGGGCGGAGGGACGGGCGGGGACAAATACGGCTGGCGAAGGAGGTGTTGGGAGGCGGGCGACTGCGCGGTTATTTACGGAGCAGGGAGAGGGAGGGGGAGGGAGGGGGAGGTTAAGGATATTTAGGGAAATAAGAGGCATTGAGAGGACGATGGGGAATACAAACGGAAGATGAAACACAGAAAAAATGAAAGATTAAAAAATATCGGTAGAAGAATTAGAATAAAGGACGAGGGAGAGAGATAATGATGATGAAACAGGAGGAAAGGGGAAATGGAAGAAGGCAGGAAGTGAGGGCTTGTAGTTGTCACCTCCGTGTCGAGCAGCGGGTATTTCCTCCCTCCTTCCCCATCTTCCCCTCCACCTTCCTTCGCCTCCCCCTCCCTCCCTCCTCCCCTCCCTCCCCTCCCCTCCCCTCCACCTTCCTTCCCCTTCCCTTCCCCTCCCCTCTTCCTTCCCCTCCCCCCCCTCCCCTCCACCTTCCTTCCCCTCCCCTCCCCCCTCCACCTTCCTTCCCCCTCCCCTCCCCCACCTTCCTTCCCCTCCCATCCCCTCCACCTTCCTTCCTCCATCCCCTCCACCTTCCTTCCCCTCCCCTCCTCCACCCTCCTCCCCTCCCCTCCCTCCCTCCCTCCCTCCTCCCCTCCCTCCCTCCCTCCCTCCTTCCCTGCCTTCCTTCTTCCTTCCTTCTTCCTTCTTCTTCCTTCCTTCCTTCCCCTTCCTTCCTTCCTCCCTCCTCCCTCCCTCCTCCCTCCCTCCCTCCCTCCCTCCCTCCCTCCCTCCCTCCTCCTTCCTTCCTCCCTCCCTCCTCCTTCCCTCCTCCCCTTCCTTTCTTCTCTTTCCCTTCCTCTCTCTCTGCGGTCACGATTCTTGCAGGGAATGGGGGGGGGGGCCTACGTGCTCCAGGCCAGCTGGTGGCGTGTGGGAGAGCTGCCTTTTCTGGTGCTCCTTTTAAACATGGTGAAGTTGTAGGAGTAACAACAATGATGATGATGAAGGTGATGGTAGTAGTAATGGTAATAGTAGTAACGATAGTAATAGTGATATTAATAGCAGTAATGATTATATTAGTAATATAGTGATAGTGGTAGTAGTAATAGAACTAGTTCTAGTAATAGTAGATGCATTAAGAGTATGAGAAGAAGTAGTAGTAGAAGTAGTAGTAGTAATAGTATGAGTAGCAGTAATGGTAGAAGTAGTAGTAGCTGCTGTTAAAGTCGCAGTAGCTGTGGGCGTGGTGGCCGGCTTTTAACCGCCTAATAAACCGCACAGCCAGACGGGTTGCAAGGGAGGCCGTGCAGGTGTAGAACGGCGTCAGGATTCCTCTCAGTCAGTTCGTCCCAAACGGTTGTGTTAATTTCCCCTCGGCGCCTAATCCTCTCCCTCCCCACTCCCCCACTCCCCGCCTATAATCGCCCCCCCCTCTACCAAGCACCCCACGCCCATGCCAGCCCCTGCCATCGAAATGCCTCTCCGAGCCAGATGCAGCTTCTCGACGCCAGGAGGCGTGTCCTCCGCTCCTACGGCGCCCGGCCATAGCGCGGAGGATCCCTTGGCCGGGCGCAGGACGCAGGCGGGAGGGCGGACCCCCTAGCGCGAGGTGGGCCGTGCGGGTAGCGCAGGGCGCCGCCTGGACTCTCTCTCTCTCTCTCTCTCTCTCCTTCCTTCCCCCTGCATCTCAATGTCTCTTACCCCCCCCCCCTTCCTCTCCTTCCTAACCCCTTTCCCTCCCCATCCCCTTCCCTGTTTCCTTTTCTCCTTTCCCTTCCCCATGTCCTGCTCCCTTTTCCCTCCTTTTCGCTTTCCAACTTCCCTCCCTCTTTCCTCCTTCCCTACCCCTCCCCCCCAGCCCCTTCCTTCTTCCTCCTCCTTATTCAGAAACCTTGTCCTGACGGCTGCTTATGGGGTAGTGGGGGGGGGGGGTCAGCGATTGCTCGCGTGGTCCCAAAGGCTTCTTGCTCGCGTCGGAGATAAGGAGCGAAGCTGGTGGCGCCGTCGGTATCTCCCGGGTGTCACGACGGCGCTGGCGG